GTAGGTGGTCACACGAGTTCAGCTCTAGCACGCATGCGCGCGCTGGCCACCTGATTTTCGGGTCTTCTGGGCCCACCGGCAGTAAGGAAAAGGCTGTTTCCTGCCTCTGGAGGGCCTGGGGGGTGGGGAAGGTTGTTTTTGCCCTCCTCAAGTTCCTAGAAAGGCTCTGGAGCCTGGGGAGAGAGAAAAACAGGCCTACTGGGCCCACCATTCCATCACATGCTAGGAGCCAGGGGGAGCTAGAGTGGTGTTGCGCGTGCATGTGTGGGGGTGGAGCACATAGAATTATGAGTGTGGGCACGCTTGTGTGCGACCCCCCCCCATCACCCCCCCGCTCCTGGCACGCAATGGCAAAAAGGTTAGCCATCACTGGTCTAATTTATTAATTTTTCCCATTTATATTTTATTCCATAGCAATATAAACTCTGCTTTAGTTCTAGAATGGCATAAAATTTTATGGCATTGTAATAAACATTGCCTAAGGCATTATGATCTATAAATATTCAAATGCATTGGTTCTTATTTTTATTTTAAGTATATAAAAGGATTTTACACCAACCAAGATTTTCAGTGTTATAATCAGATTATCAATTTGCATTCAGTTGCTAAGCAATAAAATAATTCGTCAGCTAAAACATTGGTTTTTTTTTAAAAAAAAAATCAGCATCAAAGCAATATATATCTATTCCTCCTCATTGCATTGTTTGCACTTTCATTTATTTTTCATAGAACCGAAGTATTCATTTTATTTTTCATTAATTTTAGAAATGAAAACACACTATAATAGTTTAGTGGAATTTTTAACACTAGGATTTGTCTCCTCAAACTTGAAAAACAGTATTTTGGGCAATCTTTAGGTCCTTTTTTTTTTTTTTTTGTGATTTGGTGTTTTAAAATTGCTTCTTTTTTATCTACTTATTGAAGACTCTAATAATCTTAAAACTTATTTTTAAACAGCTCCAAACAGATAACATGCAGATATACAGTACATCCTAATATTTTTTTACCATGTTAGGGACAGGGAAGATTCAATTTAACAAAAACATTCCAACCATGGTAAAATCACTCCTTATTTTACATGAGTAAGAGATTCAAGATTGAAAGACGGTACAATTCAAGTTTGTAATTCAAGTTTCAATCACAACATGGATCAATCTGAAGCAATTTGAAATTCCAGATTGGATTTGAAAGAAACATGTTACACTGTGGAAATTTCAAACATCTGAAGCTGCTTAACTTTTGAGTAGAATGAAATGAAAATAAAAGGGATAGTAGATCCTTTAACAAAATGTCTGCGGAGCTTCTCAGTCATCCAGGTCATAGTCGTCTCAAAGGTGCTTTTTTTCAAAAGGCAACTGGACTGTCCAGTTGCCTTTTGAAAAAAGCACCTTTGAGATCCTTTAGCAAAGTTTACCCTACAGAGTTTTGATTAAATCGCTTCAAGAGTTTTACCACGATACATTTTTTTAAAACACTGCCTCCTCACAGTATATGCTTAAGAGGTGAGATTGGAGAGATGAAGATCCGGCAACACAAGTGTTTTTTAACTATCAAAAAACTATTCTGATGACCACTGGATGTGAGCAAAAGGAAACAAAAACACCCCTAAATCTTTGTCACCATCTAAAGTTCTTGAATGTTCAGTGCTAAACTTATAATTTACAGCAGGGGTCTCCAAACTTGGCAACTTTAAGACTTGAGGACTTCAACTCCCAGAATTCCTCAGCCAGCAAAGCAAAGCTGGCTAAGGAATTCTGGGAGTTGAAGTCCACAAGTCTTAAAGTTGCCAAGTTTGGAGACCCCTGATTTACAGTATTACCTATGGGAATCTATTCAGAAGAAGTCTGCACAACACACTTGAAATTGTGTAACCTTTTGAGAGGAGAAAGGGAGAGGGGGGGACAGAAAAATGATAATTAATATGTAAGTTCTTAGGGAAGTGAAGGTTTGCATCACTGCAAGGTGGAAGTCATACCACCCTGTATGGAAAGACAATTCACAAAATATCATGCATGTTGTTTTAAGACATTTTCTCATACAGTATTTAAATATTGCCAGAGATGTTCAGTTATGCATTTGCTGCTCTGTTCTCTTTACAGTGAATAGATATTAGCCTCCCTCCATTCCTCCTTCCCTACTGAGATTCACATTTGACTTCTCTTCCTTCTCTTGTATTTTTCAAAACAATGTTAATGTTTACAAATGATTTTATACTTCATGTTTTCCATGAGCAGAAGCAGCTAACTTATCTTAAATAAGGTCATTGGTTTAATCAGGCCCACTCTGTGTTTGTGTGTCTGTGCATGCGTGGGTGCAATGCCAGCAGCATGTTGCTATCTGGATATGCTAGAATTTCAACCTTTTAAAGCAAACTCTTGGCACTTCTGTTACTACTGACATATTGGTCTTTTGCTTTTGTAAAGCACTCTGTGAACTAGATGCTTGGCTGGCAGGATGTACAAACAAATGTTTCCTAATTTATGGAGAAACATTGCAGATCTTATTCTGTGTCAGATGTGCTTAATTATTCTTCATTTTACTTCCAGCAGTTGACAGTATCTCATTTTACAGTGCTTTCCTACACCTCCTCCTTTGGACATACAATCGGGACATTTCTTCTACTCTTTTTCATATATTTTACAAGTTGCTTTGCCAATTGATCTTATCTTTTTTCCACTCGAAACGTAATACATTATTTGATAAATTCCCTCTGTACAAGATTTGAAACAGGTTTATGAGATTATGAAAGCCGTGTTAAACAGGAAAACTATTTGCTACAATTAGGTAATTGTGACGTGGCATTATCATGAATACATGGTGTAATTTCAGCTTTGGCTTCTGTCTTTGACAGTGCTGATGTGTTTCTGAATTCTTCTTTATATGGGTTATGCACGTATAAAAGAAGAGACACCTGACTTGGCAATGCTACATGTAAAAAGAAACTGGTGAAATATAACCAGCTTTTTAATTGCACTAAGAAAGTAATGTGTTTTACGGCCTTTCCCCACTGCTGAGTTAAATTACCATTTGCTCATCCTTGAATCAGCAGAAAAACATACCTGCATGAAATTTGCTATCCTTCCACTTTTTCTGTTTCAAGCCACTCAAGATACCAAAGCAACAAAAATTAACAGATTTTATATACTTAAATCCAGTCCTGAATGGTTTCAAGATAGGGTAGTAAATGCTACTTTAACATTGATACTACTAATGGACAATTTAAGACTGATTATTCTGAGAGTTGATGAAGGCACCATCTTGGGGGGGGGGAAGAAAGATATTGGGGCATGTTTGCGTCCTTGTTTATTGCAACTGGTTGATGTACCATATCCTACAAAAGTTGTTGACTAATTAATTGGACTAGAAGAGCAGCCAAGATAAGAAAGAAGCCAGAAATCTAGTTTTGTGAGAACTAATGGAAAGATTAAGTATTTAACCAGGGAAGAGATGATTATGGGAAGACAACATAGTTATCCTCAAATAGCTGAAAGGTATCCAGGAGAAAATGGAAATTGGAATCATAGGAAAGATTTTATCCAACTATTGTAACAAACTTTCTAACATTGGAATATCTTTCAGTGGGGTCTTTGGCAGTAGAGATGTTTAATCAGAAGTCAGACAATCATGCTACAATAGGGGTCCCCAACCTGTTCAAAACTGGGCTGCAGGAGAGATAGACAAGCGTGCGTGCCTGAAGGTTACTCGCGCAAGTGGAAGGAGTTTGCACTCACACACAAAGCTCCATTCATGCAAGCAGAGGGCACTTGCAATTGCATGCGAAGCTCCATTTGCACAAATGGAGCTTCGCGTGCTAGTGCCTTCCGTTTATGCAAGTGGAGCTTCACATGCAAGTGCAACGGTGGTGGTTGCCCCCTGTTCAGACCGGTTCACAAGAACCGGTAGTAAAACCGGCGGGAGACCCCGCCCACTGCCCCCAATGTCATCATCGGTGATCTGCGCTCCTGTTCTGAACCGGTAGTAAAGGTAAGTAGAACCTACCCCTGAAGTGTAGGTGCCTGGTGCTCCTGTGATTGGAGCTTCATGCCCAAGCACATGCATCTTCCTGTTGCACACAAAGCTCCATTCATGGGAGTGGAGGGCCGCGCACCCTCCGTTCCCACAAATGGAGCTGTGTGCACACATATCTTCCTGCCACTCACACACACCCCAACCAGGCCAGGCTGCCAAGTTATAAAGGTTGGAAACCGCTGTGCTACAACATCATCCCTCACTGGGTAGAGAACAGTTTTAGAAAATATCCATTGTCCATTGCAACTGTCTTATGTTGTGAAATCAATGGGACTTACATTTGGCCTGGTTAATTGATGTTTTCTGTTTTTGAATAAAGAATTTCCCAAGCTAAAAGTAGTAATCATATTACAGAGCTGACTTTGCTATTGGAACCTGACTGAATGTTCAATTGTAGCATTGAAACAATAGACTTAACATCTCTTAACGTTTAAACAATGGCCTCTTGTTCGTTCACAGTCAAGGATGAGGTCAGGAATAAAGTTAAGCACTTATTTCAAGTTGGATTGCTTTTTCTAATAGGGCCCTTCCACAATACTAAATTGAGAAAAGTTGGCCAAAATAACATTTCTTCAGTATAAGTAATAGCAACTATGTTTGTGTTGTTGTTTTTTACTCAAAAATGAGCACATAAACTCAGAGCAGGTCAGATCTTTAGCATGGGAACATGATTTTTTTTTTATCCTTTTGTTCCTGCTGGACTCATTTGCTCTAGGGAGCCCTTAATTGCAATTTATACTACAAAAATAAAAACCCAGAAGTAAATAAAATATATGGGTAATTTGGGGACAGCATAAATGTTGGGGACAAATGTATAAAGGGTTTTCATCAGCATGATACAATCCCACTCTTATAACAGGATCTAGTTCCTTAACATTTTGAATAATATGTTTGATACTGGTAATAATGCTGCATATGCAGTCATAAGTATGTTATTTACATGTCATTTCTTTCTTTTGACCTTTTTGCAGAATATGTCAGAATGTCACAATGATCCCGTCTAGCAACAGCACAATCCCTTCGTTACTTCTAAATGTGAGCGGCTTCTGGATTCGAGACTCACAAAGAAAAGGACTTCCCAATGATGCTCCATTGTTTACTAGCACCTATGGCCCTTCCCATGCCAACGAGAGCTTTCTCTTCACTACCATAGGCATGAGCAATGTGTCCCATGCTCCTCCTGATCCTCTGGGAGGACATGCTATCTGGCAAGTTGTCCTGATTGCTTTCCTCACTGGCATTCTGGCCCTTGTCACCATCATTGGAAACATCTTGGTGATCGTGGCGTTTAAAGTCAATAAGCAGCTAAAAACGGTTAACAACTACTTTTTGTTGAGTCTTGCTTGTGCAGACCTGATAATTGGTATTATTTCCATGAACCTTTTCACCACATATATAATCATGGGCCGCTGGGCTTTGGGAAGCTTGGCCTGTGATCTATGGCTTTGCATTGACTATGTGGCAAGCAATGCTTCTGTCATGAATCTGCTGGTCATCAGTTTTGACAGATATTTCTCCATCACGAGGCCACTTACCTATAGAGCTAAACGAACAACGAGAAGGGCTGCAGTGATGATTGGCTTAGCTTGGGTCATCTCGTTCATCCTTTGGGCTCCTGCTATTCTGTTCTGGCAATATTTTGTTGGGGAGCGGACCGTCAAAGAGGGTGAATGTTATATCCAGTTCCTAAATCAACCTGTCCTCACTTTTGGCACTGCCATAGCTGCCTTTTATTTGCCGGTTACTATTATGAGTATCTTGTACTGGAGGATATACAAGGAGACAGAGAAACGTACCAAAGAGTTAGCAGGACTCCAGGCTTCTGGGAGCGAGGCTGAGGCAGCGTGCTTTGTCAATCAAACAGGAAGTTCTAGAAGCTGCAGCAGTTATGAACTGCAGCAGCAGAACACAAAACGTACCAAACGAAGAAAATATGGGGGCTGCAACTTCTGGATGACATCCAAGAGCTGGAAACCCAGTTCAGATCAGGTGGATCAGGAGCATAGCAGCAGCGACAGCTGGAACAACAATGATGGCAACGCATCCCTTGAGAACTCTGCCTCTTCTGATGAAGATGACATTGCCTCGGACACGCGAGCCATCTACTCCATTGTACTAAAACTTCCAGGACATAATACAATTCTCAATTCTGCAAAACTGCCTTCATCAGAAGATCTGCCTGGGTCAGAAGACGAACTGCAGAAGTTGGACACAGAGTCAAAGGAGCAGAAACCAAAAAGGCTTCATCCACAAAAGGGCACGGATGATGGGAATTTACAGAAATGCTTTCCCAAGCTTCCAGTTCAACAAGCATCTGCAGGATATGCAGGAAAGGCTTCAGACTGCAATTCCACAGGGATGAAGGCACCTAATGCCTTACCTTTGTCATTCAAGGAAGCCACCCTGGCCAAGAAGTTCGCCTTGAAGACAAGAAGTCAGATCACCAAACGAAAGCGAATGTCACTTATCAAAGAAAAGAAAGCTGCACAGACACTTAGCGCCATTTTGTTTGCCTTCATTATCACCTGGACCCCATATAATATCATGGTCCTGGTAAACACTTTTTGTAACTGTATCCCAAAAACATTTTGGAACCTGGGGTATTGGCTTTGCTACATCAATAGTACAGTGAACCCTATGTGCTATGCACTGTGTAATAAAACTTTCAGAACCACATTCAAGATGTTACTGCTCTGTCAGTGTGACAAACGTAAACGACGTAGGCAACAATATCAGCAGAGACCATCAGTCATTTTTCAAAAGCGGATTCCACGGGAAACTTCATAGAATAGTATTTTTTAACCACAATAATAAACATTAAAGGGAGGGTGGTTGCTGGAGCCAGCTACATATCTTCAAAGATGTGAAAGTAGCAGCCTGGTGTATGTATCCTTTTAATACTTCCTGTATACTGTAACAGTTGAAGCCACATAAAGCAAAAACAAATTACAAATGTATTTATTAAAGAACAATCGGATATCTGAAAGTTTATCTACACAATTCCAAAAAGCTGCATACAAAACTATGAGTGATCTAGTCAGTCCTGCACTTGTTAATCCATTCTGGGATCTCAGGAGAGCACACACGTAGCTAGCCCACTCCCAATATGTTTTTCTGATAAATCTGGTAGGATCCAATATGTCACCAATTGGACTGATCTATTTCAAAATGTGGGTATATGTGTGTTCTGAATACTGTACAAATGTCCCAAACATTTTAGAGCTTCCCATCTTCTCCTTTTGTAAGTGTAATGTCAATTTGTTGACTCAGTTTGTTAAATAACCTGTGCAGGAACATCCCATGCACTCAGCACTTGCTGTCTGTTTACAGGAAAGGTAAGGTCTTGTCTTTCTCAGCAGTAATTACCATCACTACGAGATGTGAGCAGCACAAGGGGCCTTGAAAACAGTTTTTCAGAACTTGTTTATATTGTATTGATTTGGGCAATCTTAAAATTGTAACTCCACAAAATAATTTTATGTACAACAGTGAAGAATTTCCAAAGGGTGCATGTTATCCCTATACATTCAAGCAGAAGAACTGAGTATGTATATTTTTCAAGTAGAGATATCCTTTAAACATTTAAAATATTGTTTGAACTGGAGAAGTGCGGCCACATGCAGAAGGCAGAATCCGTACAAGAAGTTCATCTTCATGAGAAACTGAGTACAGGATTGCTTTAAATGTGAGGGTCGAAGAGGGACTCAGCTTTTCAGTGCAGTACCCAGTGTAGCCCTGGGAATCTCTTAAATTGTAGAAAAACCGGAACAGAAAGTCTCATCCTTTCTACAAATTTGGCGGAGGGGAGGGAGAGAGACAGAGAGAAAAAGAAAGCCCCAGAAAGAGGCTTAAGAACAGTGTCAGCAAAAAGTCAGGTCCGTGTTTATTCTGTGTTTTTGTTGAAGCGTACAACAAGGACAAAGAATCTATGGAATAAGCACATTACTTCTTCCCAGCTGTCTGCATCAGGCATGCTCCCAAGGAGAATGCACCAGAGTCTTGTCTCTATTTTCTGTACATTGAAAGGCATTTTAGACATGGGATAAATAACTGTATTTTTTTAAAATAACGAAATGGCACTTTCAATAATGCTTGTCGATTTTGAAAGCTTCTGTTATTATTATTGCTGTTTTTGTTCCAAACAGTAGTGGAAATTTCCAGTTTGTGCAGTACAATGTCCCAAGTGAATGTAAAGTTGTTTGCCAATTCAAATAGCTAAGCACCTTCTCAGAAAGACAAAAAAAAAAAAAGGGCTGTAAAGTAGCTGAGACACAAGCAGTGATCCCTCTTATTTATCAATTCAGTCAGTTCAGCAGAGCTTAGACATGATCCCCCGTCCCTCCCTGCTCTTAGCAACTCCGGTTGGTTCATTCAGGGCTGTGTGCACAGGAAATGTTCCAGAGGGGTCTATGCCTCTGCTGTACTTTGTAAAAGTCAAGACATGCCGGAGGAAAGAACTGTACTTTAAGCAATTGTTTCGGATTTATTTACATTTTAAAAAAAGCAATTTTGTATATTACATTTTCAATCAACCAAGAGTTTTATGGGGCTTCTCCCCACCTTTTTTTCGTTTTTGATCTGACAATTAAAAAAAAAAAAGCAACTTCCTTTATGAAAAGAGGACTTAGTGTTGTGAACACGGAACTGGTATAAAAGCTGCTTTTGTATTCAGTGTGAGATGGTGTTTACAGGTGATTTTGACAACAGTGGAAGTATATTAAATAGTGTCTGTGTATCTGAGCTATTTAATTTTGTGATCTATTAATATGAAGAAATATTTATATACATGAAATGCCACCGAAATGTTTTATTTTAATGTTGATAAATATTGCTCTTTGGTCTTCAACTGTAATGTCCTTTTCAAGCAGATCATAAAAGTGTTCTTGAAACATGAACACAGTTTCCAAGTTTGTGTATCACAGATTGTGGTAGGTTACATTTATGCACATTGAAAAGATTCTTGATGGGCAACATACCCTCTCAAAATCCTTTGCAAACCCAGGCAAGCATTCTTTCTAAGATTCAAAAATGGGGTTGGGGGTTGGAGAGGAGGGAAGGAATGTTAGAAACCTGCATGTCATAGAACTGGGCATGGGATGAACGATATCCAAAGGGAATGTCTAGGGTAATGAATTAGAATTGCCACCTCTTCCTCTGACTTGAGTTCTTGTATTTCTAAGGGTTTCAGAACATTGAATTCTGAATTTAGATTCCAAATTTAGATTCCTAAAGTGGTTGCTTTTCCCAGAAGCAACTTTGGGCAAGGGAAGACCTGCACTCAATTTTAGCCAATGACATTTCATTGGCACAAGACGGGCCTAGTTGTTTTAAAAAGCACCACTTCGAACAGCACTCTGTGGAAAGTCAAGTGTAACTATTGAGAAATAAATGGGGACAGCTTTGTACAGTTTAGAAGAAGGGGGGCGGGAAATGCATGTATGTTTTTAACCGACATGCTATATAAGGTATTCAGGCACCCAGCACCTGTAAGGTGCTCAAAACAATGTTTGTCTAAAAAGCCAAGTATTTCAAACAGTATATTTTTAAAAGTAAAAAAAAGACTTTGTAAAGAAGGAATTCAGAGCAGAGATGAATCTCTGTTGTTTTAAACTTTGAACCAATAATGATATCTCTTCCCTTTGGTTTGGCAGCCCTATGTCTTACTTGTGAATAAACATCAGATTGTTTCAGAGAATAACTGCATATTGAGAGATGCAACATCATAGTATTGAGCATTTACAACTATGCACATTTCTGTTTTGAGCAGCACAACACAGTTGGGGAATCCCCAGGAAAAACTCAATCAAAATACAGATTCTGATTTTATTTGCTGCTGTGCTGATTGTCACTCACTTTCTAGGTGCTCATTTGAGCCCTGGACATCTGCTGTGAGGGGCAGACAAGAAGATCTGCTGATTACAGCATGCCTGGATTAAAGAGATAGCACTTTCTTACACCCTATTCCTGAATTCCATTCTCCTGATTAACCACTAAATCTAACTCTTCTTCCAAGATCCTGAAACCCAAATGAAGTTTGAGGTCTGTCTAAAACAAAAAGCAAGGGTGCTAATTCACTGAGGCTTGTACAAGCTGTAACACTCCTAAAAATTGAATGTAGAAAAATTAAAACTCCTATCTCCCAAGGTCTGTAATCCATTGAATGCGGAAACTATAAGATTTTAACTCTTGGATCGTTCCACCAGTATCAACTAAGAGGCCATGCCTTGACTCCCTCCATGACTCCTTCTAGGTCCTTAGGACATTTTTATTTACAGTTTCTGAAAAATTTACCTATCTTTCACAGTTCAGTTGAGTTAAAAATGTATTTCAACACTATACTACATTCTTTCTCTCTCTCTCATTCTCTTTTTCGCTTTCTCTCTCTGTCTCTCTCGGGTAAGTGCAATTTCATCTAATAATTTGAGAGTCACGCTGTGACAAGGATGCTATCTTGCATTGTATTAATTTCATGATAAAATATATATTTTTAAATAAAAAGTTCGCCTTGTGGCGAAAGCAAAATGTCACCATTGTTTACACAAAAAAAATAAATTAGGAATTGCTTAGTGTTTGATACATAATCAGCTTCTTAGATGTCACTGATACTTGTAGGGCAGACATATAATGTTCACAGGCTTTTTGACAGATGAATGTAATGCTGAATACTTTTTTTGTCTGTACCTGGGTATATGTGTATGTATAGCTGCACACATGGATATGGAGATACATAGGAAAACAATAATTAATCTATGGATGGCACAGGTAGGTTGAGTTACAATGCAACTGTTTGCTCGGAGAGAACCAATATCCATAAACAACTCCCAAGCACCAAATGAGTTAACAGAGAATGTGGCTTAGAAAAAAGTTACTTCTGAGATACAACCTGATGCTAATAATATTTGGAAGCATTCTACAGAGACATTTATAGTGTCTAAAAGAATATCCCTTAATGGATCAACCTTTTTTCCCTTCCCTCTAGGCCATGGATGTCAAACTCGCAGCATCACAGCGGCGTCACATGACCTAATGGATTTTTTTTCCCTTCGCTAAACCGGGCGGGATCAGGGCCAGCACATGACGCATCCAGCCCGTGGGCCACGAGTTTGACACCCCTGCTCTAGGCCTTCCTTGTACTCTGTTAATTATCGTAGTGATAGTGTTGATGGACTCCCTCAGTTAATAAGAGTGCTGGTGGAAAACTCACATTGAGACAAGGATGACTTTTCCATACAAGACCAGACCGAGGAACCTTAGCATGACTGATAATGGCATTATGGATTAAAGTATCAGAAAGCATGAACCTGCAGGAATGTACACTAGTCACATTATCACTTATAGCAGTTATGGTGAACCTTTTTGTCACCGAGTGCCCAAACCGGAGCGTGTGCCACAGCCCCGGAAAGTCAAAGACCAGCTGGCTGGCGCACACATCCACGCGCCAGCCACCTGGTCGTCTGGTTTCTGGCATGTCAGCCAGCTGGTCTTCACGTGTGCCAGAGCACCAGAAACCCAAAAACCAGGTGACTGGGGCTTTAGCACGCATGAAGATCAGCTGCAGGTGTGCATGCGAGTGCCGGAAACCAGAAGAGTAGCTGGCGATGGCACATGTGCCCACAGAGAGGGCTCTGCATGCTACCTCTGGCACATATAGGACCTATAGGTATACTGACAGAATTTGTGAATTACTGTTTAACTGAGGAGACTAAAACAGAATTATAAAGGCCATTTACAAAAGATCAGAGCTTTTTTCCCCCCTTCATTGTTCTTCACTTGACTTCTCCCAAAGAACCTACCAAAGGTGTTATGCTACAGTGGCCATCAAGTCAGAGATCATTTTCATCCTTCAGCTGAAAATATGCAGGTGTTGAGGTTGATAACCCGGTCTCTTGAAGGGCTTCTGGAGTAAAAAAATAGCATAACACTTCTTGTAGCTCTTTTAGCAAAACATACTTTTGTTTACCAAAACAGGCTTAGGGAGCTCCTCATCAGGAAGCAGACATCACATCACCACTCTCCTGCCAACATTAATCCATGAACACCTGCAGCAAAAACAATTCATGTCCCAGTTTTGAGTTCTATAAAAGCCAAGGTCCTGCATTATCATGCTTTCTGTTAAAGGTCTACGGAGATTCTCAGTCATCCAGGTCATGGTTGTCCCAAGGTACTTTTTTCAAGAGGCAACTGGACTTTCTGGTTTTCTTTGAAGATGTTTAGCGTCTCATCCAAGAAGCTTCTTTAGCTCTGTCTAAGTGGATGGAAGAATTGAATGAAATGAATGAATGAAATCCTTCCATTCCCCACCATCCAGTCAGAGCTGAAGAAGCTTCTTAGATGACAAAACATCTTCAAAGAAAAACAAGAAAGTCCAGTTGACTCTTGAAAAAAAGCATCTTTGAGATGTTTTCTGCTGAAAGCATGAACTTTGGCAAGAAGGAGGGTTACTGGAGCAAGGTCAGCAGACCTGCAGGGATTTATGCAGAATTCTCAGGTTAAGCACTCTGAATTTCTGACTATGCCATTCTATCCTTTGTTTCAAAAGACAACATTAGATATTATTTCTATGTAATTCCTTTAGAAAGAAACACAGGATGAAAATTTGTAATAACAGTTGTTATGTCAGGGCAAAAAAACTCTCCTGCCATTTGTTTGATAGTGTCTTTCTCCACTCCACATTCACACAATGCACTGAAGAAGAGTGAGGCAATGTACTTTAGCCTTACTCCCACTCTTTCTCCTCCTCCTCCTCTTGAAGCCACACATTTATGTGGTGTTCTTCACAGATTCAGATAACTGCACTTCAGGATATCTGCATGTGTTTGATAAGCTCAACATGTCAGATTCCAAATTATGAAAAAAAAAAATTGACAGCATTCAGCAAGAAATGTGAAACTTTTTTTTCAGAACATAGCTTTTAAGACATGCAAAGCTTGCAGGAGAGCCAGTTGATAAAGTAACCCCATTGGCTCCCTGAATACTACAACCAAGTTCAAATTGATACTATGGATTTAAGTTAAAGGTAAAGATTCCCTTGAGTGAGGTTTAACTCTAGTGATCACAGAGGCAGTTAACTTATTTTGGTTTATTTATTTATTTATTTATTAAATTTTTATACCACCCCCTCTCCCGAAGGACTCAGGGCGGTGAACAGCCAAAATTAAAAAACATACAATATAAACATTAAAATACTATAAAAACGAAATTAAATTTATCTTTGGCTTCCCCCCAATTTAAAACCCCTTACCCATAAAATTCACCGATTAAAAGATTTTTAACCCAGCCCGGCTTGCTGAAATAAAAAAGTCTTCAGAGCCCGGGGGAAGGTATGGTTGACATCATAAAAATTTGGCACCTTGTTTTTCCAGAATGCCTTTTTAAAAACTTTCCAGACCTGGAGTTCCTTGATGGATTCTCTTTAATTACTCAATATGCCCCAAGTTGCTTAATTTTGAATCTAGACAAGGTGGACAACCTGTCAGACAAGGCTCAGGTGCTTCCACCTGCTGAGAAAGCCTTTAAAGAACATGAGACCAAATTAATTTCCAAAACACCTCAGCTCAGCAGGTACAACAAGTACCTGTTCTCTGTATAGAAGTAACTCATGCTGTAGTCTTCCTGCCATATGGAACTACCTCCCCTCTCCAATGTGCTACAATAAACACTGGTACTTAAAAGTATATTTTAAAATTCTTAGCACACATTGTTAAAACTGCTTCAAGGTTTTTTGATAATGTTCAAATGCATAAATAAAAAAACAACAGGAAGAATTAGCTATTGCTGTGAGAACAGCAGTCAGCAATATATCTTTGCTTAGTTTACATTTAGAATTAAATATATAGGTAGTCCTCAACTTATGACCACAAAAACCTATGAGCCCAAAATTTGTTAAGTGAGTTTTGCCCCATTTTACGACTTTTCTTGCCACAGTTATTAAATGAATCACTGCAGTTGTTATGTTAGTAACATGGTTGTTAAGTGAATCTGATTCCCCCATTGTCTTTGCTTAGCCAGAAGGTCACAACACCTTCACTGCAACTGTCATAAATATGAACCAGTTGTCAAGCATCTGAATGTAAATCACGTGACCATGGGGATGCTGCAAGGATCATAAGTGTGAAAAATGATCATAAGTCACCTTTTTCACTTCCATTGTAACTTCAAATGGTCACTAAATGAACTGTTGTAAGTCAAGGACTATTTACAAATGCTGAAGAATCTTGTAAATTACAGCTCTCACATTTTTAGCCTTTTAATAATTCAAATCCTTCCGGTGCTTCAGTCATTTAGCTTAAGATCCAACCATCTCTAAAGGCTAACCCTTGGTGTTGAATGCTATTAAAATTGTATCAATATTCTATTTTAGAACATTTGAGTTGTAAAAGGCAACCACATTTCCTATGATATTAATCAAAGCATACATTTAAAATACATAAATCTGAAGGGGAAATGAAATTCTTCTCAATATCACTGAAAACATAAATGGAGTGAATCTTTTCAGCTCAGCTCTATACAGAATACTGAGATTTAATTGTACCAATTAGCCTAAGAAATAAATATGTGTAAAATTAATCAGTAGAATCTATTAATGTAGTCAATAAAAGTCAATGCCAGCTTTATGTCACTAAATCAATCAAAGTTACTGAAAGTATAGGGATAGGATAATGAAAAATCCTCACTTTCTTGCCTCATAAATTTCTTTTCAGATTTGAAATGCTAAAATAAAGTACCTCTATGGGAAATGTTCCTATGGGATGCTTAGCCAACAAAATCTGCTTTATTTCAGAACACATAGCTTAAACATCTTATGAGTCTTTGGTTTTGCACTTTATAAAGCATTGCAGTTTCTCAAATCAATAATTTCCTTACAGTCAGGAAAGATTAATAGTTAATAAAAGGGAGATTATGGCAATATTACTGTATCTTGTTCTCACAGGCTGACAGAATAATTTTCAGATAAATATTTTTGCTAGAGTCATGTCACAGCAAATAGTCACAGCAAAAAGTATACTTTTTCTGGAATGTTTCTTGACTTCAAGAAACATTCATTTTATTAATTTCTATTTGATCAATGTTTAGTGTGCATCTATCTGATTAACCACTGACTTCAAGATCCAGGTGCTGAATGCAATTTAAGGGCTTATAATGTATTCCCAAACTTTTTTATTTATTTAGTGAGATGGTAAATTTGGATGCTGTTAATACGTTTTAAGGACTGTAAAGTTGGCAGGTGAGATGTAGCTCAAATAGATATGAATAGTATTTTCATGGTTTTTTTCTGCTTCAAATACTGAAGGCACAATCCTGTATTTTGCAAATGCAGAAAAATTGATTTCTCTCTTTTAATGGCACAGTTGAAGATTTGAGCATAGTTAGGACCAGTGATTGAACGTGGCTAGGTAGTACAGCAGCAGGGGCTCACCTGGTCACAAGGACAGCTACCTAGTCAGCAGCTCATTACCAAAGAGGGAGGGCTGAGACAGCAGTTTGGAGACAGACCCCAGCACATGAAGGATGGAGGCAAAGAGCATGTATTCCTAATCTGAATACAGTGTATCTAATTCAGGTTGCTTTCCACAGTGAGAGTGTAAAATATGAACAATGTTCCTTCAGCTCTTCTCTTTTAAAATTTATTTCCCAAACCCTGGGCCAAGACCTATATAATTCGAATTATCCCCTTAGGACTGGAGCTAGACTTGTTAAAAATTAGGTTATTGACTACTCTAAGTGTGTTTTAATCCACACCTTCAGCTGTTTTGATCTTATTCTTGCTGTTTCTCTCTTCTGTAGCTACAGAACACTTTCACCTCCATGTCTCTATTCATAGGGAACTGCAGCCAAAACCAGTTCCATCACAGACATCTTTGTATTTATAGCTGTGCCAATGGATCACTTTTCTACTTTCAGGAATTAGGTGTTGAAGTAAAAACCTCCAACATAATGAGCCACATAGTTTTGTTGCATGGAGGGCAAATGGCAGAATGCCAATGCTGAAAATAGCCTATCAAAATATAAAGGTAAGGGTAGGAGTAGAGAGCACATAATGGAGACAGAGGGATGTCCAGCAAATGCCTATCCAGAGTTTGCAATCAGAATATTTCAGAAGTTGCTTAAAACACATAAATTGTCCTTTGAATATTTTGCAGTAAAAAGCATGTTTTCCAATCAATAGAAGCACAATTTGCAAGCCTACAGCAGTGTTTTTCAGCCTTGGCAACTTTAAGATGTGCAGACTTCAACTCCCAGAATTCCCCAGCCAACACGGGTTGCCAAGGTTAAGACACACTGCTATAGCATGTGCTAATAGCAACTATTTCCAAGTGTGCATTTTATACATGACAAAACCAGTTCTGAGGAGCTCAACCTGAATAACATATCCCAGTTAATAAACAAAGGATTAAGTTATGCAAGTCACAATGCCCTTCCTCAATCAAACTTCCAATAAGCAAATGTAGAAATGCTGTAAAAACCTATCGGATTAGATCGTATTTATATAATGTGAATAAATGTTTTAAAAATATGTTTCATGGAGAAACAGCCCTTGTAACCTGTTTTGTGCCCTCAGGGATACCCATCCGGTACTCAAATGCAGTATAACAGACTACACTTCACTTATTCTACTTAAAACATCTGTGTGTATCAGATTAAACAATGACAAAACTGTATATAATGTGATTGAAATTGTATGAATATTTTTCAAGTCTTCAGGATAGTTGAAGTTTTAACTTATTTGAGTTGCAATTTCTTCCTTTTTTGAAATTTTGTATACCTTGTTAAATATTGTGCCACTGTAACTTATTTTTGTTGCCATATACTGACACATGCTCATTTCTATATGAAGTGTATTGATTATTAATTGCTTCAGAGGCAGCAATAAAACACTATTACAACGTATCGTTTTTTATTAAAATCCTTATTTAGAAACAACATCTTAAAATTGGAAGACAGTCTGACTGGCTGAGGATTTGTTTGTTTGTTTTTTACACAGCCCAACACCAGTGATTCTGATTAAGATCTAGCTATTGACTTCCAAAAGGAATTACAGTAGTGGCCAAAATTGTGGAAATCTTTTGGGAAAAGTATATTTTTGAGGTTTGATGGCTAAATAAACACCACTTTTGGGGGGGCAGTTTCAATATAATCATATTCCATTGCTGGAATGGCCTGGGAATAGCCCAGACCTTAACCCAATTGAAAATCTATGGAGCCGACTAAAGAAACTTGTTAGTCAGAAGCGACTCAGAAATAAAACCCAGTTAATAGAAGCAATCATTCAATCTTGGTTTCACATTATAACAGCTGCAGAACTAAAAGACTTGGTTCACTCCATGGGAAGACGTTGTAAGGCCGTAATTCATGCTAAAGGGTACCCAACTAAGTATTAACTGACATGATAATTTTTGCCTATCTCCTTTTTTCTACGTGTTTCACTTTTCTTATTTATACTGTAACTCCTATTCTAATAGCAAATCCTTCATAAAAAATATTGCATTACATTCTTTATTAAATTATCTTTCCATTGATATATAATTTTATGGTATTACTAAAAAAAAAGTGATGTTATTAGCTAGTTTTGGAAAATACACTTTTCCCAAAAGATTTCCACAATTTTGGCCACTACTATAAGCATGTATATAAAACCCTATAATACTTACAAGAAAATAATGTAATTTCCATGTACAAATTAACCAATCACACTAAGACTGACTTTCTTAACCATAGTTTATTGACTGAGATATAATAGTTCAACTGGAACATTGTGCTAGGCCATAAAACATTGTTTACAAAACAAAATGGCTAAGGTTCACACAGCTGGCTAATGCTATTCCTACACGTACGAATCTAGACATTACAATAATATGACTTCGTCCTTCAACACCTTGTCTGACGGTACAACCATCCAGAGATACATCATTTCCTATTTTCATTCTGTTCAGTTGCAACACCATCAATTTGACTTTATAATCAGAAAGGTGTTGAAAAATTCATTTCCATGATTGAATCTACATTGCTGGACTAGGATGTCTATTATTATTATTTTTTTGACAATAAGAAGTCATAGCTCCTTCAATAACCTCTTTGATTCTATCCTTCAATCTTTTCTAATGTCTTCTCCTTCTGTGTCCTTCAGTATTACCAAACATATTTTTATTATTCCAACATTTACCCAAGGGAGCAATCAGTTTTTATTTGGCCCAGAACTGAGAATAGAATGGAATGGAATGGAATGGAATGGAATGGAATGGAAGGGAAGGGAAGGGAAGGGAAGGGAAGGGAAGGGAAGGGAAGGGAAGGGAAGGGAAGGGAAGGGAAGGGAAGGGAAGAGAAGAGAAGAGAAGAGAAGAGAAGAGAAGAGAAGAGAAGAGAGCTTGGAGGTCTTCTAGTCCAACCCCCTACTTAGGCAGGAAACCCTGTACCATTTCAGACAAATGGTTGTCCAACATCTTCTTAAAAATTTTCAGTGTTGGAGAATTCAGAACTTCTGGAGCCAAGTTGTTCCACTGATTTATTGTTCTAACTGTCAGGAAATTTCTTCTTAGTTCTAAGTTGCTTCTCTCCTTGATTAGTTTCCACCCATTGCTTCTTGTCCTGCCCTCAGGTGCTTTGGAGAATAGCTTGACTCCCTCTTCTTTGTGACATCCCCTGAGATATTGGAACACTGCTACCATGTCACCCCTAGTCCTTCTTTGATTGTTCTTATATTCTTGCATTAGCTGATATTCATAGTAGCTATTTCCCAATGCATAACTCAAATATTTTTTTTAAATATATAAAATTTATTTTAAAATAAATAAAACCTATTTTATTTATTTTATCTTGATTATATTTATAGTTTGTCTTTCCTCCAAGAACTCAAGGTGGTTACCCTTCATTTTATCCCCACAATAGAAATTCTATGAGGTAGGTTGAGCAACTAATTCCCAGTCACCCAGAGTATTTCCACTGGGTAGACTAAACAGTGGACTAATGTCTCCTCATTTCTAGTCCATCACCTTAAACCACCTTAACTAATTGAAACTAATTAAAAGACTTTTTCAATCTGTATTTCATACTGTGCATTATCTATGGTTTGAAATTTCTGCTTGTAGCTGTAACTAAAATGACCCTCATTAGATTAAAAAGGTAAAGGTTTTTCCTGCACATGTGTGCTAGTTGTTTCCAGCTCTAGGGGTGGTGCTCATCTCCGTTTCAAAGCCAAAGAGCCAGCGCTGTCCGAAGATGTCTCCGTGGTCATGCGGTCAGCATGACTAAATGCTGAAGATGCACAGAGCGGTGTTATCTTCTCACCAAAGTGGTCCCTATTTTTCTATTTGCATTTTTATGTGCTTTCAAACTGCTAGGTTGGCAGAAGCTGGGGCAATAACGGAAGCTCACTCTGTTATGTGGCACTAAGGATTCGAACTGCTGAACTTCTGACCTTCTGATTGACAAGCTCAGTGTCTTAGCCACTGAGCCCCGTGTCCCTTGTTAGATTATTTCCATTCTAAACAAAAATATCTCCCAATCAACATATGCTTACAATATTAATTCAATATTGACCAAGGGAACAACTTAGAGCAGATTTTCCTCAGCCCCCAGATGTGTTCAGCTATAACTTTCAGAATCTCCAGTCAACTGATGGAACCAGGCTTAATAGCAGTAACTGTGAGAGGGATCTTGGAGTCTTAGTGGACAACCAGCTAAATATGAGCCAGCAGTGTGCAGTGCAGCCAAAAAAGTCAATGCAATCCTAAACTGCATTAATAGAGGGATACAATCAAGATCAAGTGAGGTACTAATACCACTCTATAAAGCCTTAGTAAGACCACACCTAGAATATTGCATCCAGTTGCATCCAGTATAAAAAAGATGTTGAGTCTCTAAGAAAAGCGCAGAGAAGAACAACCAGGATGATTAGGGGACTAGGGACTAAAACATATGAAGAATGGTTACAGGAACTGGGCATGGCTAGTCTAGTGATGAGAAGGACCAGGGGAGACATGATATCAGTGTTCCAATATTTGAGGGGCTGCCACAGAGAGGAAGGGGTCAAGCTATTTTCCAAGGCACCTGAAGGCCAGGCAAGGAATAACGGATGGAAACTGAACAAGGAGAGATTCAACCTAGAAATAAGGATAATTTTTCTGACAGAACAATCAATCAATGGAACAGCTTGCCTTCGGAAGTTGTGGGAGCTTCATCACTGGAAGCTTTCAAGAAGAGATTGGACTGCTGTTTGACTCCAGCTTGGGTGGGGGATTGGACTAGATGACCTACAAGATCCCTTCCAACTCTGTTAATCTAACCTAATATTTTATGAAATATGGAAGTTGTAATTCAACATATCTGTACAGTGGAGCATCCAGTTAAACAGCACTAAATTATGGGATTAGAAAAAAAAGGGCATAAACATGGCAATTTATAGAATATTTTAATGGCTTTTTATTACTATGATAAACTAACAGAGAATTGTCTTTGAATGCCTGACTCTGCTCTTCCAGTTCTAATATTTGCAATTCTACCCATTTTATGGTAGGATAGTATCACTTCCATTTTCTAGGCCCAAAACATAATGCCTCATGTGCTTGAAACACTGGTAATACCTTACTCCAGAATTTAAATCTTATGACCCAGCATCAGAACCAAATGACAGCCCTGATAGGTCATATAAACTAATTAATGGATCATTTAATGCAACACATAGGCTAGATAGGCTGCAGCAGTGCCTGTTACAATCACACTGCTGTGATCTTTGATGATTTGTGTGGTTGACAAAGTACAACAATAAAGGTCTCAGGGAATTAAAACATTCATTATTCAGTGTGAAGTATATCACTTTTAAGACTAGGGGAATTTTCCACATACTGCACCATACCACAGGAGCCACAAAAGATTCATTTGGGACATGAAGATGGACAGCAATACAGAGGTCAGACACAGCTTATAAAATGAAGGTAAAGGTTCCCCTCACACATATGTGCTAGTTGTTCCCGATTCTAGGGGATGGTGCTCATCTCTGTTTCAAAGCTGAAGAGCCAGCGCTGTCTGAAGACGTCTCCGTGGTCATGTGGCTGGCATGACTCAACGCCAAAGGCAGATGGAACCTTCACACCAAAGGTGGTCCCTATTTTTCTACTTGCATTTTTTACGTGGTTTCGAATTGCTAAGTTGGCAGAAGCTGGGACAAGTAATGGAAGCTCACCCCATTACGCAGTAGCACTAGGGATTTCAACCACTGAACTGCCAACTTTTCGATAGACAAGCTCAACTTCTTAGCAACTGAGCCACTGCATCCATATATATATACATACATACATATACATATCCACCAAAAAACATTTTAGGAATTGAATCTTTAACTGTTCTAGGCAGCTAAATAGCACAAAAATCTCCCATTAGAATACCCAAGGAAATAAATTGAATTTATCCCCCAAATTCCTGCTGTGGAGATAATTGCTAGCTATATATTATGCTGTTTCTCCAAAGTGAGAATTGATGAGGCCACAATTTTGTCTTGAAACATTGTACTTTCTACATGGTTAATGCTAGCTTCCAATTAACAAGCAATAAGGAAAAATAAATTATACTGATTGAAGTTGATATTAATGATGGAAGCCTGTGCATTTACTGTGGAGACCTATTGAAGACATTCTTTGTATTCTTGTATCTCTGATTCTATAAGAGCAATATTCTAAACACCATGGCACATTCTCCTGTGGACACATTTTCAGATTAAGTCGATAGAATTAAACTAGACTAAATATGAATATCAAAGGAATATCAATGTATTTTGACAAACCTCATGGTTTAAGAAATAAATAAATCACAAATTGGGAGAAAAGTTATGTGTATACTGGAGTTCAAAAACAACAACAACATTAAGGTAAGTGCTGAACACCAGTGTTTCTCAAT